AAGACCAATTAGAACTAGGTTAATAAGATTAATTAAATAGGGGCGGATCTGGAATTTGAATCAACAGATAAGATAAGGAGTTATCCTTATCCACTTAAAGAGTCTAGATCCAAATAAAGATTTGGATCAAAGGAACTAGGAGAGGCAATCTGAAGTTGTGCTCATCAGCCCTCCACTACATTCTTACTGAAGAATTTGGTTCTTGTTGAAGAGCCATCCTTCATTGGGAGTTACTATTACTCTGTATCAGGTATATCCCTCTCCTTCCTTTTAGTTATAGATCTGGTTCGGTTTGGTTCAAGATTGATCATTGAAAATGTAGTTTTCTAAAATAGGGAATGCGATTCCCAGATGGGAGAGAGAAATTTTTGAAATTTCGCCCAACCTTCCTGTAGGGTTCGGCCATCCATATGATGGATCTCTCATCCCTTCAAGTTGGTCACCCGAAACCAACTATCCTTTAATGAAAATCGGCCAACTTGGGTTATATTGGTTTGGGTCGGTTTTCGGTTTGACTGATCAATCAAAAGATTTAAACTTAAAATATTAAATTTAAATTTAAAAAAATATAATGGTATTATTAAAAAATAAATTAAAAATTTTAAAGTTTACAATATAAAATATTTTAAACTAAGAAATAGGAATTTTCCCACTTTCCTATTTAAAAAAATATATATTTGAAAAATAAAATATTAATATATATCTATAGGCAGGTTGGTTTGGTTTTTGTTGATTTGTAGATGGCTAAACTGAAACTAACCTGACCAACTCGAGTTGAATTTGGTCGGGTTGATCGATTTGATGAAAAACCTAACTAAAATTAATTATTATTATTATTTTTGTATTGTAAAAAATTATTAAAAATAGTATATAAAATATAATTATTAATTATTTAAAAAATTTATTATAAAACAATTGTCTATTCTTATGTGTTTCTATTGTTTAACTCTCACTTAACAAAGCCCTTGCACCACACGGGTACCCGCTATCTATCTATCTATCTATCATATGGGATGAGATGGCCCAATCAACTTTCGACTTTCTATTCCCGTGAATATGGGTTATGGAAAGTAACTAGTTTCAAAAACAACAATTAAAATCACATTTGAAAAAAGAAATTCATTTTAAGAAAGACGTTAATTTATGGAAAAGTACTGACCGCCATTCTCCCTGATATCTTCAGCTCACCACCCCTGTTGAATCATCGCGGACAACAATGGTTTGTCTTCGGTGTCACCACGTCACCCTTGTGCTTCTTCAAGTGATCCTCATCCTCTTGCTCTCTCACCTTGTCAAATCTGATGGCAAGCATTGTCTCTCTTCCTTTCTTTTCTTAATTTTGCTCTTAAAGATCTTGTACTTTGATGGGTTTGTCCTATTTGGTTTTATTTCTCTACCAATTTATATATGTTCATCATTCTTTCATTCTTGCGTGATTTGGGTCTTCGATTCAAGTTCCAAGCATATTAATGGGATTTTTCTGATAGAATACCATTCGTTTGGTTGGGAGGAAGATCATGATGCCTGGTTCTCCTAAAACAGCATTAGGTGACGATCTGGATGCATCATGTGTCTGAAAAGGGACCTGGATAGGAGAGAAAAATGCATGTTGCAAATATCCATTTGACTGGGTATCATTTTCTGCAGTGTTACTTATTCACTCTCTCTCTCTATCTAGTTCAATGATTCAAAGAACTGGTTTTGAGATTTTTTTCGTTTTTCTTGCTGGGATCTTGTCTGTCAGACAAGTGCTCTGAGAGGATATAGGAGAAATACATCCGTATTATTTGCAAGAGCATGATCATTACTAGATTCTATTCTAGGTCTATATTCTTGTATTTTAGATCTAGATGTCATTGGGAACAAGATAACAAAAGATGGGAACTGATAATGGGCCCTTCAAGGATCTAAGGCTTTGCATCACCTTATTAGTTGTCTCAATTACACTAGTTTTGTCATGAAATAGAACAGGAGAAGGTTCTTTCGTGTGTGGAAATCTATAACAAATTGTTTAATGTGTCCGGAATTTGATTCCCACGATCTATATCTTGAATTAACATATTAAAAATGTAAATTTTAATTAAAATGGAGTAAGAATGTAATGGAGTATTCGGTTAAAGAATCTTTTAAATTTTAATTAACATATTAAAAACCAATTATCGGTTACTTAAATAAACCCAATAACTGCTGTATACGTGACAGTAATACAGGTTTTAGATATGATATGATTTTCCATATCATAGTCTGACCCTATATATATACTTTGTTACCACATCCACACATTTCCAAGTTTTCTTAAAACTGACTTTTCAATATTCTGACTTTACAACATTCTTTGTAATACTGAACCTTTCAACGTTGGTGGTCATACATTGAATGATTTGAACGGCTCTCACCTCTGATGTTTGGTTTTGTGACTCAGGCCAGTTATACATGTTTTCTCATTTAAAATATTTCCAATAGAATATGAAACATATTCTCTTTTTTTTTTTTTTTTTCATTTTATGCCATCCGCATACATTTTTTTTCTTAATGGCAAAAGCGCCCCAATGCTTATCAAACATTGCTTGGCTGATTAGCTATTATGCCCTTTCACCCGCCCCGTCCACCTCCACATACACGTATACAATATTACATGTGGTCGGTCATAAAAGGGTCCAAGTGTTCTCCAATCGACCCTCAACTCAGGCGGATATGTCTTGGTAAAGTTTGACAGATGAGAGGCATGAGGTGGACGGTGAGATTGATTAATACGAAACAAGTGGATGATGTAAACGCTTATAAATTTGGTGGTATATATATATATGGTCTGCCTAGATTTTCTGACAACCATTGAATTTTCTGAGATATATGGTCCGTTTGGTTCACAGTTGAAATAGGAATCGAAATGATTTATTCTTAAAATCTGATTCAGATAGGAATGAAAATGAGAATTTCATTTTCAAGAAAGGGATAAGAAATGATCATTCCTTAAAATGGGAAAATGCCATTTCAATATGAATAGGAATAAGATTTCGATTCCATCAAACCAAACTGTTGGAATCATTCCGATTCCAATTCAAACCCTATTCCTGCAATTAAACGGAGCCTTAATATAAGATGAATGGACACCTACATTTGCTTTCAAAATTAAAAATAAAAAATGGTAAACGCAATTTGAACATGTGGATAGAGATCTGAAGAAGGAGAGGGACCACAAGTGTTAGGGGCAATATTCTTCAGTCAAAACTTAGTGATGACGGAACCATTCAAAAGTGGAGTGGTTATAGTGACACAATTGGGCTCTTTCTTTGAAAGAAGAGAGGGAATCCCTTTAAAGCAAAACCATGTGAATACTACGACATCAACGCATTCCGCTGCACATTGTAAATATCTCCCTTTAAATTTAACACACACATGCATAGCAAATATTCTAGGTGTTTGGCTGGATGTGGTGTAACGCGGTAATGGCTGATGTGACCCACAGTGCCAAGGCCTTTGTACCCCAAATCTAAACCAAAAGTTAAAAAAGAGAGATTGGGCCGGGTTAGCTGACTCAGTGTGGAACGAATAATAATGCCCCATAAACTCGTAAAAATACATATGGCCTACAACCACTCAATCTTTTACTTTTAACATTCATGACTGACTTGCGTGGAGTATTATCGTTATCATTGATTGATTCCACAGCTACCCCTTTACACAGCCTTCCCAATTTAAACTGGCTTTAGACCTTTCGTTACGTAGTGAAGTTGCTTCTCTCAAGGTTTTTAAAACTGGATTGCACAAGGAATCATTCTGGCCTCTAGGGACAGGTTTTTGAGTTGAATGGTCCGATTATCCACATCCAATTAAAACAGATGATCTGTTTTAACTTAAAAAAATATAAATAATAAAAACAGCCAAAAACCATTATCTAGATCGACAGTTTGACCACATAGGTCAATGAATTATTATCCAAATCAATATTTTTTGGTCAAAAAAAAAAAAAAAAAGTAAAACAGAACCGATTATCTAACCACTTCCTGAATTTTCTGGTTTGACTATCTGATCCGATCCAATTTTAAAAACCATGCATGCATTCTCTGCATTCCTTCTCATTTTATGTTTCCCATTTCTTGATTTAGACCGCTGCTCTTGCTTTATATCTCTAGCCGGCCAAAAAGTTATTCCATTGCCCAACTGAATGAATCCGGGCCATTGTTTTTAACTTTTGATAGAAGAGAATATTTTCCTTGCTTTTGTTTAATTATACGGTGAAGCATCCTTTAGCAAAGGAAAGAAAAGTAGGAAATGCCAAATTATGCTTGCTCTATTTCTCACGTCCGTATCCTATTTTTTTTTTTTTTATTTTGTAATTAAAATATGAAAACCTCCTTAGATTTTTTATTATCATAAAATTCAATCTCACCTGAAGTTTTATTTTTATAAAAATCTCACATGTACTTTTTAAAAATCCTGCGGTAACCACCCTTTCATAATTGTTTTAGTCAGAAAACATTGGCATAATGTATTGGTTTTTTGAAAATACCCATTTTAGCCTTATGTTTATCAATTCAGATGGAGATGTTCTGAAGAAAAACTTTTAGTTTTTAAATAAAAAAATTCTAAGTCAAATTAAAAAAAGTAAAATAATTTTATTTTGTAAACTCATTATGATTGAGTGAAATGTAAAAGGGCAAATCTGACACTTTGATTATATTAAAAGGTTTCCTAACAAGTAGTAAGGGTAAATTTGTAACTTCAAAACCTCTATTATGGAAGCAACAATGGAAGCTCATGGGAGGGCTTTATGATTATCAGAAACATTAGGGGAAATTTTTATAAAGGCAATAGTAAAATATAATCATGTTTTTTTTCCTAAGAAATTCTTCTCGGTAAAAGTGTATTAATTACGTTACTCGTATTTGTAGTTTCTACCGAGAAACTTCCCATGAGTGTACGTGGTACCAACCACCACCCTTTCTTCTTCCTTTCTCTCCGACTCTTTCTTTCTTTTGAACGTAGCATTTAAAGAGCAAGGGCGCAAAAGCATGAGTGTAAGTGGGAACAACGAACTGAACAGAGGAATATATTCTGGTAATTAATCAGATCAGCGTGGAAGACTTGGTTATATAAAGAGCAAGGGCGCATAAGCATTTCCGCAACCAAGCAAGAACAAGTTTCCTATCTAACTCTGTCATCTCTGCATAAAACCAGCTTCAAAAAATGAACTCCTCTCAAGGACTCAACAGCTGCTCCACCGAATCCAGGTTTAAGGATTTCCTAAACAAAAATGATAAGGTACCCTTGACTGTTTATATGATCCCCACTTTGTTTAATTTTAGTTATATTAGTTTCCGTTTGAAGATTTGAATGTATACCATATATAGTTATCAGCAGCACTAATATAATATTTCTGTCATTATATGTTTCAGTTGGTGATAGCTTTCTTCACCAGTCCCAGAAGCCAAAGGTCCCTTAATTTCGAACCATTAGTGAGGGTGATTGCAAGTCAACACCCTTATCTGGCCTTCATCAAGATCGACGGTGACGCCGTGAAGGTCATCATCTTTTTGTTTTACTTAAGTCTTTATATTTTTAGTGCCAACTTTGCATACTTAATCGATATCGATCGGTCCCTGAACCCCTGATTTTCTGTATTAACTTATCCATTATTAATATTGAAAACCTCATCTCTGGTAGAAAATTTCTGAAAAGTATAATGTGACCAACTATCCCACGTGCATTCTGTTCAAGAAAGAAGAAGCTTTGCAGACGGTTGGCAGTGCAAATAGAAGAGATCTGATGAATTTGATCGGCAAGGCTAAAGAGATGGCTCCACCTGATGCCCAGGCATAGGAAGACCGCAGCCGGCCGCAGTACTTGGCTATTACTATTAATTTCCAGAGCTACTATGTATGATTTGGATGCTTTATTAAGCTGGAGTTTTATAGTATAATATATACATGTTATATAATAATAATAATAAATTTTATGTATTTGGAATGTGTAATATCAAAGATACTGGTCGTGATTGCTTCAATCAATAGCTGTCTCACGCTCTAACAGCTTATCTATCCATAGTTTGGTACCATATATATGATCCAGTTATAATTTCTATAAATTAATAATATTCAGAATATCTTCAATAAACTAACTAAAAAGAGCAGCCATATGGATATGTATGGTGATATTCAAGTCTTACCCAACTAAAGTGTTCCACCATGAATTGGCTATTACTCTTGTGGACATAGCTGTTAATCAATCTGAGTTCAATTTAAATCAATTCAGAATTCATTGTTGTGTATATTTATTGAGCTGCGTTTCTTGCTTTCTTGAATTTTTCAAACTCTCACGGCTCATTTTCATCATTGCGCAAATGGAAGGTATGTCCCTAGTTTCATATGGATTTGTTTAAGATTGACTGAGAATTATTTATATGGACAATTTCTAGTTAAATCCATCGAAACTGGTATCAGAGAAGTGCTAATTGAAAAACACAGATTTTATTTTCTGATGATTTGGCCGGATTCTGACAGAATATTGGTTGGAAATTCATCTATAGATGACCTCCTTCCATTTCCAGTCACCTCTAGCCACCAATAGGCCTCCAATAAGTCGGAAATGGAGGGTTTGAAATTGGCCAAAACATTCGGGTTGTACAAAACCTAATTCTAAAATTTGGGCTAAGAAGACAAGCTATTCGGGTCGAATTTGATGCATGTTCAAAAGACTTCATTCAGTTCATTGACCAAAACACCGGAGAGACCGCATTCCGTGAACCATGCATAAACCCACCAACCAGAAATGGCCACGTCAACGGAGCGACTTAAAGGTAACATTAATAGAACTTTGGCCGTCAATACAAAAAAAACAGAATTCCCTCCCTCCATTTTTTTTCCTTTTCCTCCGCCGAACTTAGCACAGTAGCATCCAACCAGTGTCCTCACTCCACACCGCCGTCCGTAAAGATGGAATCCACCGGCGGGGAGAGGGATATCACAGGTGGAAGAACCGCAACTCACACTGGCCCATGTATCACTGAACGAAGAAGAAGAAGATCCTGAGAACGGACGTTGGACGGCGGACGCTGGACGTCGAATGATATCACTCTCGCCGCCGGTGGCTTCCGCGTTCACAAACACCGGTATGGAGTGAGGATGCCGGTGAATGCTGCTGTGCTTGGACCGGCGGAGGAGAATGAAAAAAATGGAAATGAGGACAGGAGAACTCTGGTTTTTTTGTCTTTTTGTGTTGACGGCCAAAGTCTCAATAACGTTACCATTTACTCGCCCCAATGACATGGCCGTTTCTGGTTGGCGTGAACCCATGGATTTATAGAACATGAAGTCATGAACCCATGTTCTACAAGAACTAGGGGGTTCGAATGTGGCTTAAGCCGATTTAAGCCAATCTGTACGATCCGAACCGGTCTAGAACATTTTAGAACAACTTTTTGGACCAATTCATCCTATTTTATACCAATTTTCATTGGTTCAAGCCATATTTAGGAGATTAACACCCTTTTAAACATAATTTTGGCCACTTTTGTTCACGTTAAATTGCATTTTGCCCCTTAATCTCCCATTAAAATATCCAATTTAGTTTATAATTATAAGTTTATTTTGCATTCTATTTGACAATTAAGGGCATTTTATTCTAATTTTATGGCATAAAAAATGATTTTAGGGCTGAATATCATTATTCCAGATATTTTGACCTTGATATTAGATTGATTATGGCTTGACATTTTGAATTACCATTACTCATCAGTCATATTTCTTCTTCGATGCTTGTAGTGGAATTAAGTACTATACAATATAGAGCATTTATTTAATAATTGATTGTTTACTTTTATTCTTGGTTACATTTAAGACCAATTTGAGGATCAAAAGCCAAAGCAATTGAGCGGCGCTTCTTGATCTTAACTACTGATTGTCCATTCCATTTGAAACACTCAACATTTTGGTTCAATTTCAATCCTTTTGATCGGAACCAATTACAAGAGGTGGAGAAGTCAAATTGATACAGTGTTTTAAGTAACTGTGAATATGACATTTGCCTCATATAACCCAAGCCTTTACAACCTTAAAGAAATGTGACTAGTTAAGCCCACACTAGATACAACAATTGGTAGCAGGCCAATAAAATAATCTTCTTATCACTCAATGTTATATTTTTGAGCCATTGAAACTCTTGCTACAAAGTTTGAACAATGTAGGACTATAAGTGAGATTTTCAGTTTTGAGGTGTTATGGATTGTTTATTAGCTTTGTGATTTGAAAATGAATTTAGATGATGATTTCCTTGTTTATGTTATGTTATCTACCTTAAAATTTTTAAAGCTTTTGTAGTTAGAGGTGTAAAACAGGATGTGCTGCCCTCCCCAGGGATAATTTGGGGGGATTGGCCCAGCACGACCCATGGTCTAAGCCCATGCGGGCCCATGCCATGTCGTAGGCTTGGGCCACGGGGCCGGGCCTTGGACATGGGCCAAATTGGGCCAGACTGGTTTTTTTTTTTTTTGACATTTCTTATTTCTTTGCTAAGTACAACTAAAATATTTAACTTTCCTTTGGGGACTATTTGAAAAAATAAGAAATCTAATAGAGAAATGAAAAAAAAAATACTTAACCAAATAATAAGTCAAAGAGGCAGACTCAAAGTGAATAACAAATTAAAAAAAAAAAGAATTTCATTTAAATTTAATGATACAAAGCATACAATGGTTGGATGAATGAAATATGAAAATTGAAAAATGGAATAAATTAATAAATATTACAATATAGTTAGAAATTGGAAATAAAAATTATATTATCAAAATTTACAATAATTTGAAAAAATGCTATACAACTATTGAGTATAGAAAAAATTTTGACTTCATCATTTTCTCCAATTGTTCTTGACTTTGATCATTGTAGGAATTGAAAATGGTGGAGGATAGGGCTATTTATAGGAATTGTTGAATTGGTGTGATGAGAATAGTGGAGTAAAAGTCTATTTATAGGAATTGAAAATAATTTAATTGTCCAAAATACCCTAAAATCTAGTTGTTTTATAGTTGTTGGGAGGGGCATTTTGGCCATTGTAAAGTTATTTATCATTTTACCCAAAATGTCCCCAAACTAGTTGTTACATAGGTGTTGGGGGGCATTTGTATCATTCTTTATCCCCCGCCCCCAAAACCAAAATATTTAAATACCCCCCTATATAGCTGTTTATAGTTAGTTGTTGGGAGTATTTCTATAAAACCCCCCCTATATAGCTACGTGCCTGTGGGCCATGCCGTGCCGGCCCTGTGACGGGTTGTGTCAGCACGTGGGTCGTGGGCAACACGGCACGTACAGTTGCGCCAGCCCGTGGACCTGGAACCCTAGGCCCAACACGACCCAGACCATCGTGCCGGGCTTGGCACGACCTATGTGCCGTCGTGCCAGGCCGTGCCAAACCATAGGCAACATGGCCCGATTTACACCTCTAATCAATGTATTCTAGATGAGGAGAGACTGAAAAAGGGGCATAATTGAATCTGCATATGTTACTACTTTAGGACCAAGGAAGAAAACAATTTAACAAGAACGGAAAGAAGAAAAACAAATCCCAAGGAGCAAAATTTCACTAAGCATGGTTAGAAGAAGGTAGAAGGAAATATTTGTAATTATTGCAAGAAACTATGGCACTACAATTAGATGCTAAGGGATTCACCCAAAGAGGAGGGGAAGATTATGAAGAAACTTTTTAGCTAGTGTCCAAGAAGGATTCATTCCATGCATTAATGGCATCAATAGCTCACTATGATTATGATTTATTTTAAATGAATGTAAAAATTGACTTTCTTAATGGTGACTTCGAACAAGTTAATTTATATGCAACAATTTGAATGTTTTGTCCCAGAAGGAAAAGAGCAAAAAATTTACAAATAAAAGAAAATGTCTATTTATGGACTTAAATAAGCTTCAATGTAGTGAATTAGTGATACAACAAATTTTATACTATTATTATAGTATCTATGTGAAGATTAGTCAAAGAAGCCTAGCAATGATCTGCTCCCCAATGGTCTGCTCCTCAGTCGGCTGTACCTCGTCAGCTGGTAGTGACCCCTCGGCTGCTAGATTAGGCAAGAGCCCTAACTGGTTGACACCAAACTCGAGTATCAAGGCCAACACCCAGGCCTTCGTGTCTTCAATGCCCTACAGATACATAGAGCCACTATAGGCAGCCAACTCCTTTTGATAATCCGGAGACCCCTTCCATGTTTCCACAGCCTTCTCGGCCCTCCTCTCCGCAGCCTAGCAACGCTTCTCAGTCGAGTCGCCTCTCCTCAGAAGTCGTTAACTTCTCCTTGGCGGATTTCAGTGTGTCTTTTAGGGACCTCACCAGCTCCTTCTCAGTCAAGATCTCGGCCTCTAGGACCTTCCTCAGGTCGCACTCCTCCTGCATGGCGATGACGATAGCCTCTCGGCTGCTCTCTACTTCGGCAAATTGGACCTCGAATTGCTCCCTATTCTCCTTAGAGGTCTTCAAATGAGACATGAGGACCTCTACCTTATCGAACACGATGATGGCATAACAAGACGCCCACAACAGAAACACAACCATCAACAAAAGGAAAACAACAAGAAGAAAAATTTTTCTAAGTGACAAAGCAAGTATTACTCACCTTGGCCATATGATCTATAAGGGTGTCCCGGACACCCTACATGCCCATCTGGGTCATGGCATGCCTGTCAACCGGCGGCGACATTCCAGTGACCAGGGCTCGGCCAACCCTTGGGGTGCTTAGGGAATCCCCCTCTTTGACATTCCAATGGGGGCGGAAGGTACACCACATCATCAGTGGCATATCATCCCTCAGCTTGGATGAATCATGGGGCCCTGAGTGGTAGGACCCCCCAACGGCCCCCTCGGCGTGCTTGCAGCTCCGTCACCGCCCTCGGCAAGGTGGTTCTTTGTCACCAACCTCTTGCCCCTCGAAGGCTAAAGGGGTTTCAACTAGCCCCTTGGTGGTGGGCTCCTTGCACCGGTCTGCCTCAGTTGGTCTCC